TTTTGGGAGGTGGTTAGGTGAAGTTAGGTTAGGTCAGGTTATATTGGTCAGAGGGAAGGTACAGAGATAACAGGAAAGTAAATACAGAGATAACAGGAAAGTACCAAATCTTAATTACAATGTTTTTTATTGAACTGGCCAAAAGGTGAATGAGGATTTTCCATGTTGATTTTTGATATTTTCTATGTATAAATATTTCAAACATGACAGTTCTATGCCAAAGCATCGTATGCAACTCTTCAAAAAGAACTGGGTCGAAGTTATTCTAACGTGTAATTATTGCCATCTGATGGGGACATTTCGACGGTTTCTCAGAAAAAAAAAACCCCTGTTATCTTCAAGTCCACTTCATCAAAAAAGACGCATTTACAAAATGTTTTTAAAAATAAGGTGAGACGAGGAAGAAAAGAAAGGGAAGGGAAGCATCCCTGTCTGTGTTGTAGTCTACATTTAGTGCAAGGATGCGTTTCCGCCACAGGAAGCAAGTTTTACGGCAACGTGCCCGACAGGTTTTATTTTCTCGTTCCCCCCATCACCAGGAGGGGGAGGAGTTTTAAACGCATTCCTGGTGTCGGAATGAGCATTCATTTCGTTGTGCCCTGGGGGAATAAGCGATGATTTTGCCCAGCAGGACATAGAACCTGGGGCTTTCTTCCAGGTTGTATACATCGATGTAAAGTACTAATGCTTGGAGATGTTAAGAAAAAAAGAGAAGAAGATGGAAGGAAAGATGAAGACAACATTGAGATTATGCGGTTTCCGGCATATTCATGAAGCTTTTAAATTCTCAAGTACAGTGCGTCGATCTTCTTTTTTTTTCGTAATTTTGACTTCATTATAGAAGAGCATGCGCGGTTTTACGGGCGTTTCTTCCCGTGTTTATGCTCAAGCCAAATGATGCGAGCGTTGGAAAATAAAATTGTGTACTTACCTTGTTTTATGGTGCACGACTCAATCGCAAAATTTTTGAAGGTGATTTTCTAGCTGAAGTATCCCCAGAAAGGATTCAGGCGTTGCGTTTGAAAATCCCTCAAATTGAACCTCTCCTTTATATTTTGAAAGAATTCAGCACGCGGAATTAAGCAAAATTGGCAGCTCCTATACATGGGCTTAACGGACCTATGGGGTGTTTGCCCCAGTTACACGCTTTTTTTTCAAATGGCGTCCGACATGTTAAATTTACAAATTGACGGAAATGTATGTTTTCTTCGAGGAATTATTCACGTTTTTTTTCAACTAATTTTGTTTATTTGAGTGAACGGGAATTAAATGGAATTGAAGAGAAGGAGAAAAATCTTGACGGCAATAACAGAAGTCATTCAGGCAATAATTCAGAAATTTCTTACGCTTCCATTAATTTTTTTCTTAGAACGATGACTGAAAAACTTGTGTTGTTCCCTTTGGTGGTGGTGCCACTTAACAGAAAATGAATACTTGGACCTTTGGAATTTCGCATAAAGAAAATTATTTCCTAATAAATCCCTAACATAATCCAGGACACGACTAAAATAATATGCTTAACATTTTCTAAAATACTATACCTAAAATGTTCCCGGAGGACGTCAGTCAAGACGAAAGGAAACGCACAAAATATTGCGACTCTTGCGAATTTAAATAATTTTTTCGAGCCCTTCGGTGGTCGTTCAGTTTGGCCTGATGACTCAGCCCACTGATCTATTCCATCAATAAGCAAACCAGACAACTCACCTGATCAAACAACTCAAACTCGTTGGGAAATCTCGAAGAGTTCGGCCGACAACTGCTCGATTCCCACTGGAAAAAAAAGGAGTCTTCGAAACGTAATTTTGGAACGTATTAACGGATTCAATGGTCAACAGACTAAATAAATAGGAGTTTCTTTTTCAGAGACTGCCTCTTGAATCCCTGCGAACTGTAAGAAATGATTGACAACTGAGGCCAGCGACTTTTTTTTTTTTTATTCATGGCTAAGACTTTTTGATTCATGCTGTACGTGTCGTCTGAGTGACTTTTATAGCTTGCCTCCGTGTTCTTCAACCTTGGTTCTGAGGCTTTGTAATGGCCACTGCTTCTTTGATTAGTCTCGAAATCGAAGCCGTAATCTCCTTCATCTGCCGCTTCTAACATTTTGGAACATGATCCTGTCCCAAAATTTTTTTCTTCTCTAAAATCGCGACTGAGTTCTGGATGCTGAGAGAAAAAGTTCAGCTACGTAAGCTGTCGTGTTTCGAGAAGACAAATCGACCTCATAGGAAGCTACTTGATACTCACATGACGAAGCTGACGAGAGGCTGTTGACTAAAAAGCATACTAAAATACCTAAGAGAAAAAATAAACTATAGATATATAAGATGGAAGTGGTTTTGAAGATGCAAATGTGCATTTAAAAAAAAAGCGGCCCTTGACACCACGCATTTTCCTGCTGTGCTGCGCATAGAGATGCTCTTGAGTGCAATAGAGTCCTTCTTGTTTTCTGCGTCAACGTCGAGATAATATTACAGCACATCTATTGGAATAAAAAAGAATATTATTAAAAAAAACGTCTGCTTCGACACACGTATACTTTTATGCGGGTGCTCAGGTCACAACTTCGACAGTAAAAGTCAGATGACGTCAAGGAAAGGAAAGACT